AACCGTTGCATGCTTGCAATGCAAAAACTCATATGCCACATGTAAACATAAATTTCTCTATTATATAACATTCATGATGATAGATGACCAAATTCTTCTTCGAACTTAGGAAAAGGCACCAAACGCAAGTCTAGACGAAAATCTAAACAAAAAATCGAAAGATTTGAAAAGCAAAAAATTCATAAAATATTTTTTACAGGGATCTGCGACAGTTAGTGCGTCGTCGTCGTCGAGTAGTTAGAGTGAAGTTATTCAAATAGAAAAAAAAAATCAGTCCTCCACCAACAATGCTATTTAATGCTTAAGATGTGTAATATGAAGAAAGGAGACACTCGCACGCAGTGGTGGTCAGCGGAGGTGGGCATGAACGTATGTGCGCACAAAACATAACCGAAACGATTTGTTTAAAACATAAATTATACAAGAAAAATATGAGACCAAGAACACACACTTATTAATACAGATATGAACATACATATGTATATGTACGACGCCTAACGAGGTGGAGGCGTTTTATTTGAATTCAGAAAAAGTGATTCAAAGGCGGTTCGCAGCTCATGTTAAACACTGCAATTAGATAGATGGCGATGACCTTAGCCGGCATTAATGCGTGTCAGTCTTATTACGGAACTGGGCTCTATATTAAGAAAACAACAACAACAACAACAACACTTGATTGATTTGTAACCCCAGCTAACATAATAAAATCGTATAAATCATTTTAGAGATTGAAAAAACAAATTTGATGCCTGAAGTGTAATCAGCTGTATGTACATTGGCTGTGAAGAAACCACAACAAGTGTTTCCTGACTCCCCTCCCCCTATCCTTCCCTCCCCTGCCATCAAAATCGAAAAATATTGCCGATGAGTTTTTATTTATTTTGTAATTGATACACTATTGCTTTCCAAGCATAATTCATTTGGAAGAAGAGATGGAAAGAAATTGTTTTTCCATTTCTTCCCCCAAAATCATTCTATTCCTTCCATGTGTAGTGCAGTGCATACGTATAGAGAAGTACGAAATGCAGTACGCAATGATATGATATGTTTCTGTAGTAAGCTGTCATAAATGTCGAAATGTCGGCCGCAGTAAAGTGCTCTGGATACGCGTACGTGAACGAAGTTCTCTTACTTGCATTTAAATAAATTTATGTTACAGTTGCATTTCTTGTGTGTATTTTCAGATATTAAAACACTTTATCTTTACTAAATGAATTGCACTCATACCCACAAACATTTTAATGAGAAAGGCAACCTTTGTTGCTTATTCAGTATATTCTTCTAATATAAAGATGTGACGAAAAATTCTGCCGTTTCTCTGCATATGTGAAAAATGGAAGAGCTGCACGCCATGTTTCACTCAGCCAAGAAGCTGCTACTGATACATTACGACATTAATTTGTTCTATCTACCAGTTAGATACAACGAACACAACTTAAGCAATTATCTGCCATTGATATCAGGTATTGAACTGAGAAAAGATACTGGTCCCAAAAGTGTAGAAGGCTGTAAAATAATGTTTCGAAGTTCCGAGGAATGTTGACAGTGAAACCACGCCCAGAAACCGGGGTATATTTAAACGAATCCCTTTAGCTGTTCACGTACCTCTTAACGTGGTTTAACTCTCCTGTCAGTTTACAGATACACTAAGGATCGCAGCCTTAGCGTAGTTAGTTACACAAATAAGTTTTGCAGCACAAATGATACGACATAACGTTGACTCATGCTGGTCGTAGTTCTTTTAGGCGTTGTTGTGATCCTCTTTTAGGAAGCTTGAATAGCTTATTATTTTATAATTTGGAAATCACGAAAATGGTTGGAACTAAGAACAAGTAATCGAAACGAAACGAGTTCCGCTTCCTATGCGTAGATATCCTAGAACAAAAAATTCTACTCACCTTAAAGCAAACAACTTTTAGGCGAATGGCAAGAGGATCTCGACTAACAATTCAATGTGCGGTCAATATTTACAGGGAAGCCGATGGCCTTAGATGATGCTAGTCCTTGAATTTATTTCTCGCAACGCCGTAGGAACGACCATCACGAGTTAATAAGAACGCAAATGCTCAAGATTCGAACGGTTCGAAGGATGTATTGTTAGCTAACGAAAAATGTAATGCAATGTAAAGGAAAAAGTTTCTTATGACCAGACGGCGCTTTCCTTCAAACTCAGTACGTACGTTTACGGTAGCAAAGAAGGGGAAATGCCTTGCTGTACATATATTTTCATTTTTGTGTTTTTCGTTTTCTTTTTTTTTTTTAGATCATTTCAATGGTAAACAATAAAATAAATAAAAAATTGATCATTTCTTTTGATAATATTGATTTATAATTGAATTAGACTCGAGAACGGAAAATAAAATGAACAGCAAATCGAAAAAGAGAATTAACAAACATTTTATATGCATGAAATTAATCGCATATGTCGGGAGACAGCTAATGGACGAGATCTGGCATACGCGTACACGTTGGTGCATGCAGCGCCAACCAAAAACAAACAAAACGAAAGGGAAAATAACATTTAAAACGTGATAGACTGGCAAGGCATAATATTACTTGAACTCGTAGATAAATTGTCGAATTTCTATTGAACACACCACGCATCACGCATACATAAGGTATTGGAAATTGCAATTAATGCTTTTACGGCCAATAATTTGTTGCACATTATCGTCGCATCGCTAACATATTCAAAAAAATGTGAAAAAAATCAAAAATTTCCTATGCATTTTTAATAATGCAATCTGATTGAATACACGCGGTCAAATACAAACACACGCATACATATATATATATATACGCATACATATGTATTTAAAAATTAATCCTTTTGCTAATGCTGCATATAACTTGATTTAATTTTACCAAAAAATATCAAGATTCCTTTGCTGCGTTTAACTAACTATGAGAACACGTTGTTCTATCAACGTTTTTGACTTATCTTAAGGACTGAACAAATTGTCTTTTATACTAAAGTATAAAGTATAACGCATTCGACATATTCACGTGCAGAACACTTGAGTAATTAATTGCAAGCCGGCCGAAACCCCCGCAGATGAACGCAATGTAGGCATTATCGATGTGATTGATGTGATGTCATAGATATCTAGTAAGAAAATTACATTCGACTGACAAAGAAACGAAATCTTCATGCTCCACAATATCGGGTGGACGAGCAATATTTGTGGAATATACCTGGAAACTTTAATCGCATGTCAACACCGACCTGCATGCAAGAAATTCCAATGTTTCTGACCATTTTGAAGCCATAGGATAGCTTGCCGTTGGCATTGTACAGACAGACAACCGGACAGACGTGTATGGGTATGAAAAGAGAATTACTCCTACAAACATTCATAGCATCACAACTACTCTCGACATTAATATTCACATCGGGAGTCATCCTTCTACAACACTGCCCCGACGACGTTTAATCTTTGTTTCTGAAACTTATCAGAGCGATAGATTAAAAGCATTCCAAGACTTGAAAATACAATATTTTCACATGAGTATACTATAGAATAATTCATTCCTTCATTCATTCCTTCTTTTTTTAAATCTCCACTTAATTGCTTATCTTTTTATCCTTTTGAGTGGTCCGAGCAGTCAAACTAATCTCCTTGACGAGCAGCAATATGTTGAGATAATCAAATGCATTTGCTAAGAACGAATTTCAATGATTTAGGGCTTGAAAGCATTCTACGAGTACGTGCATGAAACAGGCGCATAAGCTATTTAAATATTATAAATAAAACAAATCAGGGAATTAAGAATAACTGGGATCGCGCTCAACTATACATCCGCAATCTCATTAGGGGATTTAAAACGGATATCAATTTATTAAATTACTTGTTGAGTTATTGTTCGCATTAAACGGCTTCACATCACTGCAGAGAAGTTTCAAATCAATTGCGGAGCTTCAGCATCCCCTTCAGCTCTGCTTTTTGCGGGCCTTAGTGCGTTATACCGTCATTGGTAGCTAATACCCGGAACACAACTTCTCGTTGTTAGGATATTCCAGGTGGCCGGGACACACATTACAAATACCCTCATGCTCATCGATTCCCTCAAACGCACTTTTACACTACACTCGGTGAAGTAGCTATATTCACAGTAGTGCTTGTTATCTTACGTCTTTTACTAAGTGACCCAGTAATGCATTAATTGTACATCATTTTGATTCCTATAAAAAGCAGACTGCATTTATGCTAAGATAGGTAAGGCTCGCCTACATGTGCGGGTACTTTCTCAAACAAGTATTTGTTTTATATTTCGTTTTACAGCCCTCTGAGTTACACTCAGCTCTTCAGTGTCACGGACATTAGCAGAACGTTCCTAAGGAAATGCGATTTTTCTACTTCGAATAGAAATTGAGTAAAAAGCATAAGCACCTAGATGGGGATGACTGCAACTGTCAAGAGGACTTCATTCCACCTCTTATTCCACTTGCCAAAATGTAAATGTCCATTCTCCGTCTGCCGGGAGAGTAATGACAAAATATATTAAATGACATATTTTCGGAAAATTTCAAGATTTAATAGCAGATGTTGTTTTAGGTCTTTTAAGCGAAGGTGTGTGTATAAGAGATTTTCGTTTAACTGCACTTTCGAGACTTTCGATCGTAACGGGATCGTCCCGCTTTACCTACAAAAAGACTATAAAGTGTTCCTTTAACAAAATAATATTTACTTGTACATTTTTGTTGTTGTTAATTTATTTACAAAAACCTTAAGAAAATACATGTACAGCAAGTTTAAGGATCGCTTTAAGTTAACATTTCATTTCATTATTAATAGATTTTAGGTACCATGCGCCAAAGAAAAATTGGATTTAGAGAACTGTAGAGTGTAGAGTGTTATAAAAAATAAAAATAAAAAAAAAAGGAAGAAATTATTTAAGAAATAAATAAAATCTTATTGTTCAATTAATACTACTTAGCATAGAAGAGGAGTCTACGATGAATGTTATTGATGTTATTGATGTTATTGATGTTATTGATGTTAAGAATGGCGAAGATGATGATGATGCGCTAAATTTTGCTGATTCATAAGTGCTGTGTGCGTATGGCTCCATATATTAATGTTTTGTGGGGGCGGCTCAATTTTACTTTTCAATGAAGCCGGTTCACTATCGATTTCACCTCTTTTCGATTTGTAGCGACGATTTTGAAACCAGATTTTCACTTGAGTCGGTGAGAGATTTAATTTCTGTGCAATAGCTTCACGTTCGGCGCCATTTAAATACTTTTTCATGCGAAAACGACATTCCAACTCTAATACTTGAGCTTGCGAGAAGAGTACACGTGGCTTACGTTTCGACCTAGGCTTACCGTTCTTACGCAATTCCGATTTAGAAGACGTCACCTGAGAAATGTCCTCTGAAAATGAGGTAAAAGTTAAGGACAAAATTGAAGGGAACCTTTAGCAGACGTGCCTTACTTTTCTTATTACTATCACTTGAAATCGATAAGAGGCTAGTTTGCTCGTATACGGCGTCCGTAAGACCGCTGGATATATGTCGAAGAGAAGCTGTATTACTAGCAGTTTCCATTAGACTGTGTATGGAAGTCGATGTGGCCAATGACGAGTTGTTTGCCTTCTTCTGACACGAGTTACTATTAGTTACATTGACATCGACTTCTATTGAACTGTTTAAGTCCAACGTAGGTGATGGTGTTACGTACGAGGTGGGCACATATTCATTTTTAATCAAACTGTTGTTAGCCAAATCAACATGCGTAGTAGGAGGAGTTGCGCTTACCGTCGCCATGCAATGTTGCGCTATATTCGACCCCATATACGGATCCGTTGGATAATTGTAGTTGAACATCGATTGAGATGCTGACGCACTATAACCTGGCGGTTGATATGTAGCTACAGTAGGTGGGGGCGGCATATAATATTGATGATGACTTGGATTGTAGGCTTGATAAGTTTGATGGCTAGCCGGGGCTGCGTAGTCTTGATAAGCTGAATAATATGATGTAGATGCTGCCGCCGCAGTCGATATATGGCCATGCGGTGCTATTGATGTCAATGTGTTCTGTCCATCATAAACACGTGTTTCATATTCTGTAGGAAAAGCTGATGTGGAAGTATGCAGAGGACTAGCAAGGAAAAAAGAGGAAATGAAGAATCATATTTTCTATAATTAGAAATAGTTGTTCACTTGCTGAGAGGGTTCACGATGAAAAAGAAAAAAGAAATATATATTAACACATGTAACCGATATGTAGCAAACTGACCCAAAACTATGTGTTTTGCAAATCTGATCGCTCTCAATGGCATCATTTCATGGCTCATCATAACAATTACATGCATGCACATATACACACATTGGAATAACAGGAGGAAATTTTAACTTACATATATATATCTAAATATATGTGTACGCAAACGCATATGATCGACCATCGTTTACTTACTGGTCATCAATGATCGTTGAAAAAGATCTACCACGACGTCTGTCTATTGTTTTTCTAAGCATTCGTTCGTTCGTGTTATGTTGTTCCCAATTTTACAAAAAAAAATAAATTCCTTACTGGTCGCATTTTCTACTTTTCTATTTAATTAAATGTTTATTCTACATACACGCTCACATATGAAAAAATTTATAAATCGTTTAAAATGATTTGACAAAAAATTCAAAGTAAACACACAAACGTTTTCTTTTAACTGACGTCCTTGTGCGTGTCATGCTGTTTTTATAGGATATTCTCCGTCTTTTCTATTTTCCCTTCAGATGAAAACTTACTTCCATCTGATATTTATGTAAATATTACTATTCTTAAGAAATTTTTACCCATTTCATATGTTGGAATCTTTGCTACTTTTTTTTCGAATATTTTAAAAGCAAAAAAAAAAATACACGCATTTGTGTAAATATAAAAATAACAAGATTATCAGGCATAAAATGTGTGGTTTTTCGTATATCGGATAAGCATTAACTTTAGAAAAAGCAATACACTAAACGAAGGATCGACTACAGGCAATTTGACAAATTTTTCTATTCGAGATGTACTGCGTATACGCATTGGCTGGCTTTTGGAGCGGACGCTCTTCGATTTCCGAACTTTTCATTCTAGTCTCAGCTAATATTGCACTAATTTAACTCTTTCGCCGCTGGACCTACCTCAAGAAGATTATAGGCACAAGGACACCGGTAATCATGATGCTAACTATGACATACTATTTGGTCAACCGAATGAATTAATATGTTTATTACCAATTTCGAAAGATTAAGAGTACTAAGAAAAGCGAGAATAAGTTATAAAGATCACCCACTTGTTGGGATCGAAAAGAAAAGAGTTTTAGCCCTTATCTCGATTCTACTCAATAACCGGGTGAATGGAATTAACCGTTACCAGTCAATCTTGCAAAAGCTAATGCATTAATGGTTAAGTATCAATCCGGCGCAAATATTGCACAATCAACACTTGAAGTTGCTAATTTACTGATGAAAAGCCTTGTTTCTGGCCTGCAAAGCGCCTGCGAAATTTATTTATCCGTCATCCGTTAACCTTGCATTTTCCATATCCGCAATTGCATTGGTTAAACGATTGCAGTTAATTCATAAGAGACGCTTGGTAAACTTACCCCTCCATATGACCGTAAGTTGTGTCGTACGCTTCATTTTGATTGACCATATTTAAAATATCCTTAACTGAAAACGGCGTAGTGTTCAATGAATCTGTGTTTGCGATGCCGCTTGGACTTGGCTGATTGTAATCATAGTATCCTTGTGATACCGACGCAGACTGTTGTTGATGTTGGAGCATTTTCATGTATTTCCATTTAGCCTTATTTACTTGTTTTGGTGATTGCCTTGATCAACCAAGACTTCAGGCCAGAAAATAAAAAAAAAAAAAAATTACGAATACATTGAAAAAATTTACACAAAACACATCGTCGCCACAATGACTAGTTACCATGTTATCATTTTTAACAGTTTTTTAATAGACACAAACTTTCATATCATTATATTTCATATCGCGAATAATTCGTTTATTTCATGGAAAAAAAAAATGCAAAATAAAAAAACAATAACAGCGCGTGCCTGCGTATAATTTGTCAGCGAACATCTAAAAAACAACTGAAATTCCTTTGCATGGAGTAAAGATATTTACTTAATTAACTGTAAACTTAGCCTAAGATATAGATACATTCAATCTCAGCCAATAGAAAGGATTTAAACCCGTACACAAATCCACGCACATGACTATTTTATTGTGTATGCAAGGAAAAAAAAGAAAACAAGCCAAAAATGGTTCTTACAACAACCAATCAGAAGTCTTCGTTTTTTTTTTTTGTTTCTCTTAGTGGTTTTTGAGCACATCGTACCAAAGAGCACTAAGTATATAAAAGTATATACAGCAGCCAAGAAATGTTACAAATACAAGAACCAGAGAAAAAAGGCCAGTTGATCTTTCTGTTACTGATAAGAGTAGTAGCGCTGTTAAATAGCAGCAATTTAACAGATTGCTCTTTCATTTACACTATTCACAAAATTACACTCTGCCGAACGTTTAAAAAGCCAAAGCATACAAAATTGTGTGTTTTTAAGTGAACTTTCCCTATGGTAAGCGAATATGTATAAAAATGAAAGCGGAAGCATCAAAAGTCCCTGAGAATTGACTTGGAGGTCTTATTTCGAAACTTTCTAGGGCGCCTATATGTTCACTTTCGCCAAAAAACTAGTGCCTCCTACGTTGACAGGCTTCTCATTTCAGCTTTAGTGCGACCTATCCGAAACTTTGAACGTCCATTGGTGCTTGTGGATTATCGCTTCCGAAGTTTCTGGATTCTAAATGCAAGCATTGTCAACAATGTATGTATGCAAACTTATCTTAAATATATCAAAAAAAAAAAATTGATTTCCTTTATATCAGAAAATAATGCAGATATGCACTATGTATGGCTATCGCTTTTGCAAGAAATGCAAATTTTACCGAGCAATACTTTCAATTTTTTGATTCTAATCAAAAGAACAGTATAGAAAAAGACGTACTAATAATAATACCAGGTCAACTTAGCAATACGGTGACTGATATCATTTGTCTTCCATTTCGTCTGTGCTCGAAGCCTATCTCTCTCCATAATTTCTCCACCCACACTTGTATTAGAATGCATGGCAGCAAGAAAACTGTCTGTAGAAGGCATACATAACTTCAAAAATTCAAATAACTTCGTTTAACGGTCGAAGACAGCTCCAGCCAACAACAATTTCACCAAAAATTATTTACTCTTATAATTTTTATTCTGAAATAAAAGATGAAATCTTGCGACAGTGAAGCCAAGTGAGATATACATACAGTTAGAATAAAGCATAATGCGAATGGGACGTAGATTTATTTTTACAATCTGGTATCGGCGGAATTTGCAGTGCATGCCTAAAAATGCAACCGTTAAACAACCACCTCAGCAACAACCAATGAAAATGAAGCTTCTAAAATGTTCGCTTACGGATACACACACTTTTACAAATCGACGCGATGAATATCGAAAATTTCCTCATTTGTGAATGAAATACATAAAAGCGTAAGCGTCGGAAAATTAGAGAAAAATTTAGAAGGAAAAAATCTGAAAGGAAATAATCGATTTTCTACCATAAAATAATTATTAATATCTCATCAAAAAAGGGTAAGTGCTTTAAAAAAAATAAGTTAGAATTTGTTAAACAAAAATTAATAAATCTTAAATAAAAAAAGAATGAAAGAAATCAAATTTTCAACTTTTGCACATTTTTATAGTGTCTCCTTTTATGCATTTACATAAAAAAGATAAAAATTGTTTAATTTTCTACAATATTTTATTACAATTATTAAACTTTTATTCGTTTTTTTTTTTCATATTTTCAGCGATTGTCTACTTGTGTTAATATAGAGAAAATTTTATCGATCTGCTGCTTTACATATTTCTCCTATGTAAATAGTTACTACCAACCAATATGGCGGACGATGAACAGTTTTCATTGTGTTGGAACAATTTTAATAGTAATCTTTCTGCGGGTTTCCACGAATCATTATGCCGCGGCGATTTAGTCGATGTAACATTAGCGGCAGAGGGACAATTTGTAAAGGCTCATCGCCTTGTGCTATCTGTATGTTCACCGTATTTTCGTAAAATGTTCACACAAATGCCAGCAAATCAACACGCCTTTGGTAAGCTTTCGAATTTAGAACGAAGAAGAGAAAAAATTCTTATATATTATTTTTATTTTAGTTTTTCTCAAAGATGTTAGTCATACGGCCCTAAAGGACCTCATTCAGTTTATGTACTGCGGTGAGGTGAATGTTAAGCAAGAAGCTCTACCAGCATTTATAAGTACAGCAGAGGCTCTACAAATCAAGGGTCTGACGGATGTAAGTAAATCATTATTTATCCTACTGCGTTTAGCGTCATCCATTTATAATGTTTTGTTAGAAGTTTGTTGTGACATCAGTTCGCATTTTTTGTATTTATAAATGTTTGCATATTTGGTACAAACTGTACCCTGAGAACGTTAGGGGAAATTATGACAATCCCAAGAATGTTTTCATAATGATAATATAGTATAAAAAACGACTCTGTGTGTTTGGTAAGAGTTGCCACACTACTATTCCGTTTTCTTTAAAAAATAAATTAAGGTGAAGCTTGCCTTCTATCGCGCTATAAGGAACAGTAAATACTATATTTGCTGCATTTGCGAACTTCTTCAATTATTTTATCTGTAGAGAGACATTTATAAAAGATGATAGGAGCTTAAACTTAGAGAAAGAGCAAACAAACTGCAAACGTAACATTTTGCGCTCATATGTATTTGTAGAGTGATCCACCGCCATCTCAAACACCGCCTGAACCTTCAACACCTACGCCGCAGTTACCGCAACAAATTCAAACATCTCCGCGTGTACGACAACGCCCATCGGCGGCAACTCGTCCTTATAAAATTGAAACTGTTGATGATGGAGGTGATGATAGCGGCAAACAAACCACACAAATAGTCATACAAACAACAGCGACAGCAGCTCCACAGGCTACAATGACGGCTCAAGCGCAAACTGCTCAGCCAACACATCTGCAAACGCAGCAGCAGCAACAACACATCCAAAGTCAGTTAACCAGCGTTAGCATGCCAACAGCTACAACAGCCACTGTGGTCACCCATAAAAGACCCGCCCAACGTACAAGTCTTAGCAGCGTGCCGCATGTTAAACGCACTAAAAGTACAATAGATCCATTGGAAGGTGCGGACGCGACTACAACAACTCAACAAATCAGTGTACAAACTGCCGTTGTAACCGAATCGAAGGCACAGGTTCAACAACAGCAGCAGCAACAACAAAGTGAACCTGAATATATTGACTTGCCAATCGAATTGCCGACAAAATCTGAACCAGATTATGCTGACGAGACGGGCGAAGTCGATCAAGCGGAAGGTGACACGGCCTATGTAGAAGATGAATCTTATGGCGACATGCGTTATGATGAAAGCTATTTCACAGAAAACGAAGATGCGGCACCAACAGCACCTACTAATGTTAGCGTTAGCAATACCCCAACTGGGACGACAAGTAGTGGCAATAACGCCGTTGGCGCCACCACTTCCAAGGCTATTGTGAAACAACAAACCACCTCGTTTTCGGATACATCGTACGTTGATACCGGTGATCAAACAAACAATGATGCACAAGGTTAGTTGACAAACGCAAGTATGAGCCTTTACAAATTTGTATTAATCGGGTATAAATGCGAGGCGCCAGCCGCCAGTGTTTACTCATTAAAAGGCAGCTATGTAAAGGTTCTATACTTTTGAAAATTCTAATTAGTAAATAAGTCATCAGCACAGTGGATAAATGGAATCTGCCGGCAAAGGAAAATTACTTGTAAAATTGAAAGAAACAGAACAATTATCCCTAAAATACGTAATGTCGATAGTAGTTGTATCTGCGCCACTTATCCATTAGATCCACTGTGTTGACTTTGATCAATTTTAATTAAATTTAAATTAAGGCATTTTGGTTTAAGTTTAATTAAAATAATCAAGCCATTATTATTTAAGGAAGTCGATAGTCTTCAGAAAGCAGCGGAAGAATTTTAAGCCTTCATTCCTCCTCAATAAGTAGGATTAAGTAAAAGGCAAGCTTCCTTATGCCACTTTGAAGACTATTTACGAAATCGGTAAGAAGAAAGTACGTTATGAAAAAAGTCTCGCGCGTGCGTTAAGTCTGAAAGTCGTTGGCCGCAATGAATCTTTTCACTGAGGAAAAATTGTAAAAATTTTAAAGTTTTTATTGTTTTTTTCCTTGTGAAGGGAGGCTTCTTCTGTGCATTGCAAAAAAAAAAAAAATGCTATAAAATTTTGTAATGTCGGAAAACTTGCGGAAATAGACTGATTTTCATGTTTACTTCGTAAAAATAGTATTTTCTTTGAAAATATATTTTCAATTTTTATTTCAAAAATTGTTATAACAAAATGGTCCTTTTTGTCAATAATCAATTTTTGAAATGCAATTTAAAGTTGAAAATTTTTGAAGAAAATATCGTGAGTGTTTAAAAGTGATGTGCAAAGACAGAAATTTAAGGATGGAGTCAATAGTGAATAATATACAGCAAAGTAAAAAAATAAGAAAAACGTGCTCCATGTGAAATATCCCCAGTGCAAACGAGAAAGTCGCGTATAATCCTCTGAGTAAGTACCTTTATAAACTTTTTGATAATTTATATATGGGGCAAGATATCGTGTCTTTAAGAGATGGTACGATTAGGGCCGAGATGCAGCTTTTTCGCATTATTTGATGTACGCTGGGTATATATGATAGGCAACATGACGTTTTTGACGTTTCCTCTAAAAATTTTTTAAAGTAATTATTAAATTAATATTTCAATTAAATCATAAGTCTTTCTGTTAATTCATTGCAAGAGTGTTTGGTGCAAATAAAAACCAGGTAACAGATCTCGCCTATGCGATTTCGCTCATTTATTAGATTTTCTAAAAAATACGACGTGATAGCAGCTCTAGAATTCTGGCGCGACTGCCGCCGAAAGTACAATGATTTCGATTTCAATCTATTCATTTTAAACTACATAAAATGTACACTGCCCAAGTTTTTCAAGCGTTCCGCTCTCACTCCCTTTTTTTTATATGTACTTTATGCAGTGATTGCTGCTGGTATACTGCATTTCTTCCTTTAGTTTGATGTACATCTGTAATTACCACCTTTTAATAGTTTAACAAGAAAAATCTGATTAACTAGAACCTGGTCCTTTAAGGAGTGTACTTTTTGTGTCGCGCTTTTAAATAAATGTATTCAGAAATTTCAAAGATTGTTTTCTTCGAATTGGTCTAGGTCGTATTGTGAGTGTGTTTGCATACGCACGGGATTGAGTTTATATCAAAATGAGCATTCAACGATATTTATATTAAGTCTTGTTTGGGAGGATCGTCGTTTTGGTCAATTATTTAAGATGTTATTTTGCATAAATTGCAAAATAATGGCAGTAACTGCCGGGCAAGATTAGTGTGTAGGTATTTTATAAAAATTTGTGGCAATTTGTTTCTACAATAAATGTGTTGAATATTACAGATCAAGCTCCGCAGAAGTTCTGTTGTTTTCCCAAAAGAGGAATTGATGGGATTAATAGTTCTGCTGTGCGGGAGAAACTTTCAGATTTGAAAGGCATGCTGATGGACATTGTAATGCGTGGAAATATGTATTTAAAATACATGATCATATTCTGTTTCTAAGATTCGTCGCAGGGTAGGTGCAGGTTTTTAGTGATTCGTTGAAGTATGACAATATTAAGTTTTTAGGAAGTGTTTTGGTTGAAATATTCCGAAGTAATAAGATGTAATGTGTAACTTTGGTTTCTAATCATTTCTTTCTGCATTGTGTTTGCACAATGATTATAAAGATTGATAAAGTTGATAATTCCTTTCCATAGATATAACCATAATGCCGACCTTAGTATTTATGCATGCGAGCGAGTGAGAATCGATTGGGAAGTTTTTACTGAAAGTATGTGTCCAGGAAACAAATTTATCTATCTTTGTGCTTGGAAGGGTTTGTCGTCACGTAGCAAAGATCTAGATAGGGTTTTGTTTAATGGTTCATTTACAATTAATCTTTTTTTTTTCATTGACTGGATTTTTCTCAAAATGCAACTTTTTAACAGTTGTTTTACGTTAACTAACACTGCTTTCGCAAAGTATACTGTATATATATCGATTCCTGAAAAAATATATTAACAGTGAAAGGAAATATATTTGTGTAATATTTTGAAGTTATTCCAAAATTATTTTTGTATAATTAAAAGTAACAAAGTTAAATTGTGCAAAGGCAAAGTAACTTGTGGAAGAGGCTCCCTTTTTTATAATATTTTGTTATTACTAAAAGTGGAATAAATAAATGCAAAAAAAGAAGACAAGCAGGTTAACATTTAGCATGGTATGTATTCGTAAAGGCACGTCCGTCCAGATATTGGTAACAGCCTTAAAGGACTTTGTTTACGTAGGCGAACGTGTTGTTCCATTTAAACATAATTTGGAAGTCTGATGTCATAGCTTAAGACTATTTATGAGATCCAAAGAAAAGTAGTTTTGTTGTAGTTCGATTTTTTGAATAAATCTTCTAAAACAACTCCGGTGTGGCGTTTTTATTTAATATTATTATTTATAGATATTAAGGCTCATATGCTGCTCAGTTATCTGCAAAACTTTTTTGTAACATCTTCACTTTTATTTTCCTTATGATTTTAGATGTAGTCAAGTTCATACGCAGCCAAAAGAAAAATGCCCAATTAGTTTACAATGGTTATATATACAATAAGAAGCTTACCCAGGCCAATAACAATACTACCTGGAGGTGCATAGACGTGCTTAAGATGCGATGTAAAGCCGTGGTTATTACTAAAAACAATAAATTAGTCGCTGCTCGTCGGGAGCACAATCACGATGATCATCTATCACGTATCGGGGAAAGACCCTTATATAAAGTGGAAGAGGATTTGGGAGAATATATTGAATTGAAAACTGATAGTGCGAATTTAAGTGAATTTATAGCAGTGACAAATATAGAAATGTTACCACAAAAGAATGGGAAAGAGTATAAACTATATGTGCCGGCTGCCTGCATGGATATGAAAAGCAAAACATTGAAAAGCGATTAATTTTATAAAATGCAGTTGTAATTTTAAGCCGAAGAATTGTAAATAAAATTTTAAAAATTATTAGACAAATTACAATTATATAAATATGAATTTAACTTAAGTTTTAAAGATTCCGTTTTTATGTACAAAACACTAATTGCTTCTTTTTTTTTTCCTCTTTTTTCTTACAGTAGAGGACTTGCAATTCATCGAAAGCCCTTGGGCTACACCGTGCTTGGTTCTCTATGGTTTTATGTTCAATTGCCATTCGCGTAAAAATAATAAGGAATACTGGCGTTGTCACAACTACTCGAAAAAGATACACTCGGAACGTTGCCGAATACGTTGTGTCATCGAAAATGGCAAATTGAAAAGCATATCTGGTGGAGGCCACAATCATGCCCCGCATACTGAAAAAATTGAAAAAATGTTGGAACGTTCGCGTATGGTCAGCAATAATGCTGCCGTTTCGCTTTTATCACGCATTAAAATTGGCCGGCAAACATCATACACCAATCAAAGAGCAACTACCAATCAACTTACCGAACGCCAACAACTTATACATAATTCTGCAATGCTTATACATGAATAAATATTAAAAAGAAAATAATAATCATTATTATGTAAGGAAAGTAAGGAATTAGTAGATTAAAAACGGTAACTTGTAAATATAAATGCAGTTCAAATAAGAGTAAGTTTTTAATTAAGTTGTTATGTTAGTTGGTTTGCGGGTGAATTGAAAATTTGCCTTAATTTTTGCTTTAGTTTTGCTTTTTAGGCATCCATCAATCTTTAACTATTCTCTATGTATATATTGCAGATTATGACTCGTTGGAGGATTATGAGTCCTTGGTGACAGATGATGATCGCGTTAAATATCGTAGCAGCCTAAAGGGTTCTTATCAGCTGGTATTAGATGGCTTTCCTTACACACGACATCGATGTCGCGGGGACACAATTTACTGGCGTTGCGTACAATTCCGACCTTTAAAGTAAGTCAAAATACTAAGAATGTGTGTATGCGTATATGTGTATTTTTTTTTTGTATGTAAAGAATAATTACGATTTGAATTTTTGACTTTAGCTGTAAAGCCCGTGTACGGACCAATCCGACTGGTGATTGTGTTTCGATTGTCGACGAGCGGCACAACCACTCCATTTTAAAGGAGAGACGTAAGAAAGGTTCCTTAAAATACGTTTACGAGCAAAGAAAATTAGCTAAAGAATTGAGTAATAATAAATAATAACCGTACTATCTATATATGCAAAGAAAAATTTATTTATTTTGGTTTCTCGACAGCAATTAACTTAAATGGAAGTGTAAAATAAAATATTTGAATTTAATTTGTTTTAGATGCTTATGTTTTTACCTATAACTATCGCGGACAGTTGGTTTACAAGGATTACACTTATTCGGTACACAATAAAACCTCCAGTTCTTGCGTAGTTCACTGGCGTTGTGGCTATTATTACAAAAGCAAATGCTCAGCAATATTAACCACTAAAGGCAAACAATTAGTAAATGTTAAGGGAATACATAATCATCCAGCGACAAAGCAAAAAACTTTCATTCCACAAATATTCAAATAAATAAAGACGTTAGTGAAAAACATTAATTCATTTTCTTTTTTAAGCATTTTCTTCTTTTTTCGTTTTTTTTTTATCATCTCACGCTAATTGCTATTAATATTTTCTCTTTCCTTTACAGTTCATAAGCAAAATCTGCTCGGTGGCAAGGAATGTTCGAAAACTGAAAGAGCTAGCACTGGTAAGAAGGTGTACGCAATTAAACCTCTTGAAAGTGATGATCCACATTATTCGGCCTCGAATTCGATAGTTCAAATACATAGTCCGCAATATACTTCATCAGCTAAAGTTACTCTCCATAAAGAGCTTAATCATGCGGATGAAGTAATTAAAACTTCAAAAAATCAGCATAGCTTTAGCGTTATTAATCGGCCCCGTTGGTTTGGCCGGTGCGTTTATTGCCTTAAAAAGCCGAATGTTGACCGAAAGAAATTAGTAAAAATTACCACCTATTGCCCGCAATGCCCAGGTGGTTGTTGGACTTGCGAGCAATGCTTCGATGAACGTCATTAATAATTATAAATAATTAAATGTAATTGTATTTAATTACGAAACATTCATCTGTGTAATCTTGGAAGGCAATGCATATGCGATACGCATTAAAATAAATCAAAAATAGATTAGATATCGATTATGTAACCAATTTGAGAAGCAAGCTTTTTTTTTTTTTGAAGAGCCCTAGTATTTCAAATCCCGAATGTGCTAATGTTTCGCTTAATATTGAAATGATAATTGTCGATATGTAAATAATTGGTTTCGAAATAAAACGAACTTTTCATTCCGATCACTTTACTATTGCAATTTATTTCCTCCTACCCCTTGCTAACATTCGTAAATTTGAGATAGAAAGTCGATCCTTAGCTCTACTATACATCCTAAGTTGGAAATTTGTCGGATGCCTGGAAAATGGAAACCGCTATAATCTAGGGAAAAACGCAACTTATTTGAGGTCTTTAAGCTACCGCAACATATATCGAGAACTTGTAAAATTTTACATTTACGCTAAACCCGTTTCTTTTTCGCGATCGACTTTTTAATCGTCCTCAATCTATAGCTATTTCTGATCCGTTATTTACATTAAAAAAGCTGATTACAGCGTTCGAAATCAAAAAAAAGCCAATCATGAACAAATATTCAAATATATATATATATATATATATATATATATGTGTGTGTATAAATATCTAATTACGATTTATTAACTTCTTGTCTAACTTGAGTTTCTCCATTTTTGGAAAGGCCTTAACTGATATGTGATTGTGTTCGGGAAATAAAACTTCCAACTGCGAATCCAAAGTCGTGCGGACGCGAGCTCGGCATTTTGTAGAAGAACGCGTCGCACATATCCATTTAGTGCCCCTTGAATTATGCATAAATTTAACGAAATGATAGCCACCATAAACTAATTTTACGGAATCCCGTTGACCGGTGGTAAAGTGATAGTTGCGGGTTAATTTCGCTAAAATACAAAAGTCATTGAAAAGAGAAGAAAAAAATCATAAAATTATTAGCAAAACTGTACAAAATTGCTGTGAGTGAGTAAAGTAAAACATTAAAAATTATTAAGTTTCTCTATACGCACTTGACGAAAATTTTAAATTTATTATTTCGAAATTCAAAAGAAATAAAGGGCGGGGCTATTTCTACATTTCTATATATAGTTGTTTATCGCTTAGTTTATAAAGAATGTCTGAATATATTCAAGATATAGCGGGCATAGGGGATTAATTTAGAGAAAATCTTAGTTAAATTTAATTCTATTTTTTTGACATGACCACCGCGGCAGGTTCCACAATTTCGGTAACATCGGCAACAATTTCTTCATATTTCAAATGCATGCCCAGAGAGGATACGACCAAGTTGCCTCGTCCGGTGCCAGCAATGCTGCCTAGACCAGCAGATGTTATTGTCGTCGTTGTTTGGCCAGCGTTATAACCGTCCTCAGGTTTGATAAGTTTATCATTCGCAATAGCCGTCGCCGGTGGTATTAAATTTTTACGCACACGTTTTTTCCGCTTCACTATTTCTTCGTGCGTATGATAGCGATTCAATGGAATGACCATATCATTTATGGTACAAACACGCGAACGACATTTCTGATTCCACCATTGATTGCAGCGCCAGTATTTCTTCTCCTCAAGTGTGGACAGCTTAATTTTCTTTTCAAATATGAACGGTTGTCCCCCGTAGATCAATTGCACTCTACCCCTCGAAGTGGCTGAGTAGACTGCCACGATAGGCTCATCTGTAAAATGAAATAAGAAAAAGAAGGAAGAGAAAAACGAGAAATAAAACAAAAATTTGAATTAATAAAAAACCGCAATATTAACAATAATGAATTAATTATTAGAAATAGTAAAACTTCAGTGCAAATCGAAAACAATAAACAAAGATTTTATTCATTTATTTATTTATTTCATTTAAGAGTCAATTCTTTTAAATTTTTTCATCGCACGCTTCGACGGCGGGTGATTGTGTTCGGCTTTAGTTAAAAATACATTATAAAGGCCGTTGACACGCTTGAAGGTGGTTATGCGTGCGTTGCACGGCTTCCCATTATGAATTGTTCGACATTTCCAATAGGTTGTGTTCCCGTTCTCGTTATTTTTCGAATAAGTAAAATTCTGATATAATAACAACAGCTTGCCCCTCTGTCCCGGCACAAAGCTGCATTTTGATTGATGTGTCGCCCATGGTTTCGGACGTTTCGTTTCTCCTTCAATATCCACCATAGGCAGAATAACGGTATTTGTGCTCTTACGTCGCTTATACTTGTTGATGATAAATGGTTGAAATTCTAAAAGAACGAAAGAAAAGGGAAAAAATAAGTTAATAAAAAATTTTCGATACAGCCTAAGAAGGATATAGCGATTGTTCAAAGATTGTTCGTAAAACTTTTGGTTTTTCATTAAAAGTGTCGCATATTAGTTTTTAAAATATCTTTCTTTTATTTAATATACAATATATATATAAATGTATATATATAGATAAAATGTGTTTTGACTGGGGTCAAAATAACAAAAGAAAAAGGAGCTTAAGAAAGTGCGCTGATAGATAGGAGCAATTTGTACTTTTAATTTTAACACAATTATGTTATTTTTAAATTTGAAAAACAAATCATTTTGAAAAAGCATTTGCCGAAATAGAAGGACAGCCTTGTAGAAGATAATTCCTGATATTTCCTTAAACGACTAAAGAACTTTCAGCCACCGCCCAACTTGACTGAGGCGGAGATGATAGACACTAAACAACGATCTATGACTAACATATTGAATATTTTCTCAAGGCACTAAAGTGTTTTGAACGGTTAACAAAATTTTAGACATTATCAATTGGCCAATTAGGAGATGCGGTATTAAATGATTCGATGATTAATTTTGTTTTTTAAAGCTGATCTAAAGTAGCAAGTCTGCTTCCGTACAATAGTAATTCGAATTTTAAGTGAACTCAAAATTGGATGAACTCATGATTTGTTCGAAAATCGTGATCATGAAAACCAACTGCCCGCAATGATGATTAGCTTGAATACACAATTTAATATCGAATTGAAAGACAAGTGAACATTTTGTAAGATATGCTTTAGAGTAACGAGAGCAACCTCTAATTTCGTAGAACCGTAAAAGCATCTCTTCGTGCTAAAAACAGGAGGGACTCAATAGAGAATCGGCCAATAAAATACAATACAACTCGGCATACTTTTAAGGATTTTTTTACATTCATTCGTTAATAAAAATAAATAAATGAATTCCTAGAGGAGATTATCTCTTAAGAACTACTTTAGTAACAGAAAACTTTTTCACGTAAAGTCTAAAGCGCAATTTAAAGGTAAGATATTTCTTAATGGAGAAAAGAAAAAAACTCCTAATCGAGAAACATGTTAGAAGAATAAAGTTATTTACAATTATTTATATAAAAATATTTCACTAAATGAACCACTCACTCACATACATATAGGTGAGAAATAATTAATCGAAGTCGGTCAACTTGCTCTTCAACACAACAGCCGCGGCCATCTTAAAGGAAAGGTTTCGTGTCAGGGTACATTGGCTGATGAGTGTGGAAAGTGGACGTTTCATGTATAATGTCACCAATTGTCGTGAATTTGGTTACTAATCGTGCTTTACACTTCGCTTTGTGATACATCGAGCATTTCCAATCGCGACTTCGAGTATACGGCTTAAGTTTAGAGTTCGGAGTATATGTGTTATGCTTGAAAAACACCAACTGAGTGCCACGCCTCGAAGTTATGTATTGAGCAAATTTAGTACGATCTGAAATAAATTAAAACAAAATAATTTTAAGTGATCAACTAAAGAGAGAAACAATTAGTTTTTCTATCACAAAAATACAAAATTGGAAATGAATGAAACATTTTATGTATATATTTTCCGAGGGCCGTAACGCCTGGTTTATATTATATAAAAGCTATATAATATAAACGATTAATAACAACAATAATTATATATGGATAAATCACATTACTTATTAAATTAGGATTTTATTATATGTCAGGGATGGTTATGTTTTCCATCGCGTAATTGCAATTTCATAGTATCCTTACGTATTATAGCTCGTGCTCGGCAGGATTTACGAAAATTTGCGCATTTCAAGTAATAGGTATTTGTTGATTGCGAACTGATAACGTAACGATAGTTATTTATGATGGTGTAACTTTTATGATGATGTTTCCGGATTATTGTGAAATCTGTAATAAAAATCAAAAAAAAAAAACAAAAAAACAAATAAATAAGAAAGTAATTAATATGTATTACATAAATTATGATATATGTGAATATATTTGTATCTGCCTTTGAAGTAACTTTACCAACAAATTGTTTTTAAAAAATTCTTGTTGTTTTTCTATAAAAAAAAAAAAAACACTACAACTTATTAGACAAACTAGAACGATTTCCGAGCTTTCATTAGTACTTTGTCATGATTATGCTCACGTCGTCCCAACTTAATGAGATTCTCACCAGCTGTAACGCAACGAGCCGGACATCTTATGCTTGTATTGCTGTTCTTATTGCAGACCCAATTAATGGTGGAATGGTATCTGCGTTCAGCAGTGTAGAGGTAACCTTTATAAATAAGATTTAAGCCTCCACGACGATTGGGTACGAATGTAAGACTATGCTCCAACCAGGCTCCAGTTTTCAGTAATATTGCAGCGTGACATTCTGTAAATTAACAATTTAAATTGAAATTAAATATTGTTGTTGCGATAGCCAATACATTAAAAACAACAGAAAAAAATCTCGAATTTTGACAATATTTAATTTTATTTTGAAGTTTATTAATAAAACAAGTCTGGAGTGGTTTTTTTCAATTTTTAATTATGATTATGGTGTCCCCGTAGTGAGGTTATTTGATCAAATTTTGTTACTACTCTGGCAGAACATTTGGTGTATTTACAGCGGACTTTGACGCATTCCCAATAGGAGGCATCTTTGATGCGGCGATTCAATGTATATTTTTTACCATTTATAGTCAGTAAATTATTGCCGCGAATGCTTCGTGTAAAATGTACGTTGAGATTTTCGAATATTGCTTTTCTCTGCAGTAAGCGTATAGGTTGTACTTTAATCAAATCTAAAAGTCAAAAATATCATCGATTTAGTAAGTTGCAAAAGATATGGAAAAGATTGCGTATTTTACGACTATATTTTAAATGCATTGTGTCTTGGCAAACATATATTATAGACCATTAATGATCAATAAATTATATTCATTTTTTGCAATTTTATTTAACAAAACTCAAAATAAGGATCAAATACTCTGTACAACATATTTAAATTCTTGATCAGATTTATTTCTTGTTGATATTTCCGGACTCACAAACTTTGAGAGGGGAAAACGTTTTTACATGTAACGTGGATATTCATATAGAGTAGGAAAAGGAGTAAGAAAATCTAGAAAATTGAAAAATCCGAAACATTTGTTCGCGGTCTTATTGCTTATACAGATTGCTTTTAAACATAACATCGATCCGTTTCATACGACAATGATGCTCCATTTCTCTCGGCTGCTTCAGTTTATTGGCATATATCTGTTCCTCCCAGGAGTTTGAGTATTAATATTTGTATTAAACATTGGAAAGCCTAATATTTAATCATGGGGGTCCCTAATTCATACAAATCATCTAAGAATATGCTTTGTGGGTAAAAGTGAAAGCGAGATAAAAGGCTGAAATTCAAAATATGATAGTTAATGTTTAACAAGGTAAAATGCGCTTGTAATACGGTTTCGCTAGAGTCTAATTTGTGATAATATTTACATCGCCTTCAAGCATATATATATATATACAATATATACTATTTAGGAATAGAGTAGACGATCCATATTCGCTTTTGCATGAAAGTTGGCACGTCCAGCAGTTGAACAGATATGTTTACTACTACCGAGAACGAACACACGAATACGGGTAAAATTTACGTTCTGCGGAGTTTCGAAGTTAAAATGAACTTCTGCGACAAAATGGATAGGAAACTATATTCTGGGACGTCGCCTCTGACTTAGACAATGTCCAGCATATTCTGAAAAGGTTCATTTGCGACAGTATGTTTTAGACATGTTTAAACTTCTCTCTTTTAATTCGGGATTGCTAAGCACATTTTTTAATTCAATAATTTTAAAATTTTCAGTTAGAAATTTTTCGAACCATTATAATTTGCATCGTTTATATGATTTGCACAGATATTTTCATTTAACGAGAAGTTTGATAATACGTTGATATACAATAAAACACCAGCGTGAGTAAGATGTTTTACAAATTATTTATTTGACAGGCTTCGTATGATAGTTTTACAGGAGACAATTTATATTCTAGATTGACGGCTTGCAAACCCACAAATCCAGTTATAAAGATTTATATAAGCGTAATGTAAGAGGATGAATCTTTGGTTACTTACAAAATTTTCCTATAATTTTTAGACAAAGTTAAGAGGAAAAAGATAAATATTGGAAAATCCTGCATCGCGAAGATAGAGTGCTTCTAAATATTTACAATTATTCACTGTTTGCACTTTTTATTGCGAACAATTTTTGTTTTGTCCTGAATTTTTCTAATAAAACACTTTTTTTGTAGAGAATTTGTTTATTTTTTGCACTTTTTCTTTTAAGAGAAATTTCACCAAAAGCACGTCAAGGAAAAAATTAACCACTAAAACATTGTTTGACAGTTAACAATAAGGCGTCTCAGGTGCAGTGTTGGTAAGTGTCCGCAAAAATCTATGTTAATACAAAAAAATGAAACGATATAAGGAACATTTTTTTATTCATACATGTTATTAATAAATTAAAATGTTAAAAGAAAGTACTTATCAATTTGTCAAGTCAGTCAGTAACTATTTAAGTTTACAACAACACAAGACTGAGTTTTAAAGATGTCGGTGTAGCGTTGGAACTATTTATCTTCTGCCTGGACTGGTAATAACATATGCTTCCGTGATTGCGTCTCGAGTCGACAATTATGGATTAAATGAAATGTTACATTGCTTTATTATCATTAAATATACTGACCCGTATAAATATGTAATATCAAACATCTATAGTAACTAATTAGAGAATACTTTTTATTGCAATGTTTGTTTAATAAAAATTTGTAAAAATGCCACTCTGTAGAGCGCTTCTGTTTTTATCATATAAACTTGTTATTTGCGTCTCTGTGATTGCTCTAAATTGTGTGTAAAAAGAATATTTTGAAGTGTTCTAAGCAAATCTCTTAAAAAACTACATTAAAAATTATGGAAAGCGTGATAGCTAAATCGCTTCAAGATTTTTGGTGTTTAATAACTTTAAATGTAATCCTTGGAGTTTTTTTTGGACTTGTGTTGGGCTTTAATGAATATAAATAAAAAGTCAATACTTATCTTTGTATATATATATAAACCGTGTTTTCTTTTCATTTTCTCCTTTTATTCTTTTAATTTTAATTGGAATACCCGTTCTTTCACTATTTTTACATACTAATTTTGTTTATTGATTTGTTTTTTAGATGTGGTGGCCAAGAAACATCGTGCAAATGAAAAGATACCCCTATATGCCGGGAGTCGAGTTTATGTCGCGAAAAGTGATTTAATGAAGATTTTCATACCAAATTCATGCATTTACACTTCGCGTCTCAGTGAGTTAGTTTTTGGAGTGGAGATTTTAGAAAAAGTCGCTCGTTGTGCTCATAAGGATCGTCTAAAACTATTGGATAGTGACTTGTTGCAGTCTATTATAAGTAAGCATTTCATGGTCTTATGATAACAGGCTCTATTGGACATCAACTGATAAGACGGATAAGAACTTTAGATAAAATGCGCATATGAAGTGTTTAGAACTATAATCATTATGATGCTAAGATATTTTTAACTAACAAACCACATTACTAAGGTCGACAAATTATTATTATGTATGGATTGGAAAGAGTATTTTCAAAATTGCAACTTATCCTGCTTCTAAATTCTAAAATGTAGGGCTGGGACCTAGACCGTAGCAGTAACACATTATCAAATTATAAACCTTATAAAATTTCTTGAATCGTTACTTTTAAATGCTCTTTTAATAATTTGTCTTTTTAGCTCATGTAGTTCAAGTGTTTTCCATGCGTGGTGAAAACATTAATGAGACTGTGGTTAAGCGTTACATTCATCAAAAAATTTCTAATATGTCAGCAGAATTAAGATGTGCGGATGCTTAAATGATGATAAAGTGTTTGTCTTAATTATGTGAAGAATATTAAAATCGATTGTTGTATAATCATTTAAAGTTAGGAGTGTAAGAGAAACATTATATATTATTTCTAGAGAGAAATAAAATTTGTGAATTTATTACTTATATGTTTAAATAGTGTATGTATGTTTATTTCAGTTATTTCTTTCTTTATTAACTAATATCAAGCTTTTTAACTGATCTTTTTCTTTCTTCATTATTCAAACTTTTTTTACAGATATTAAGTACATATTTGAGGACAAGAACACCACCACTTATATACAATATTCGACGACACAACGGGGTCGAGTTATGCTTATCTACAACGGATATCGTTATGTAGAGAATCGTCAAAGCCATAAAAATATCTTCTGGCGTTGCTCGCGTTATGTTAAATATGGATGCCGTGCTACTGTTGTGACTTCAAAAGTTAACGACGATGTGTCTATTAGAGTGGCTGGATCTCCGCACACTCATGAGCCTGAATTAAAAACCGATAGTTTAGTGGATATGACTCCAAATAGCTTAATTCGTACCATGGCCTGTTTTTTAACGGACCATAACATGAAACCAGAATATCTTAATTGAAACCTATTGAGCATGAAAATCTGTTAATTACTGTAAAAATAATCTTTCTTTAGCTAATCGAAATTTTGAATTGAATGTTAAACGATTTTTAACCATTTAATGGTTTAATGAAAAATTAAATAAACCCATATAAGCGTTACAACGTGTTTATAAACAATTTATTATATTGCTTCGCTAAAGTTGTTCTGTATAATTTTTATTAACATTAATGTTTTTTTCTATTTTTTAGGTAGGAACAAAGCGGTAGCAAACCCAAAATTGGAATGTTTTCGGAAACCTTTCAATTTACCAAAAATATTAGATGGCAAGTTTTATAACAACATACAGGAAAATCTGAAAACTCCGGGCGGAATTCATGCGACGTGTACCAGTTGTTATGGTATTATTTCGGGTACTACGAAGTCGACGGGCAATTTTTTGAGTCACATAAAAAGACGGCATAAAGACATTTTAGCTAGCTGCCAATTGTACTGTTCGGCTAAGGGCTTATCAGATTCGAAATTGGCGTTGGCTCTTAACTTACCTTCCCTGCCTACATCTATTAGAATACTAAAGAAGCCACAAAACGTAATACCAGCTGCCCAAGTTTTGCCGGCTTTACGGACTTATTCCGCTATACGTTGCGATTCATCTTCTCCACAGAATTCTAATAATAACGATAATACTAGCGAGCACTCACCTAATGGTATTTTTAAAACATCGTCCATACGTTAAGATAGGAAGTCTTCGCAAAGAAAAAACCTGTACGAATATGTATATTCATATATATATAAGTGCATATGAGTGTAAGTGCAAGTTTTTTTTTACATTAAACTAAAAGTAAGCTATTTTTTTATATTGATGTAGATTTCCATTAGATTGGAAACGAATATAATTAAGTTTCAAAAATTATAAAGAGACTTTTAACATTATTTGAAATTTTTGTTCGGTGTATCCACAAGAGGAAACCTCATCATAAAATCATTTATCAGAGCGCAAAAACGAGACTTATTATTGTCAAAAATTCCTTAGTTAACTTAGTTTCGTTTATCCATAACGAATTTCAATTGAAATAAGCGATAGTTACCGATTTGCTCTTGGCATTAATTGCCAAAGAGGAAATTAATATTAAATAACTCTCAGTCACACACTTCCCTGCGAAGGAGTTTGTTACAACGAACATCAGGTATACATTATGTGCGCTGCAAAATATTATTTATTAAAAAAAAACTTAATTCGTTAAGGTAATTAATTGTACAAAGCCAGATAAGCATATTGCTGTAAAATTTTATGTAAGTAAATTGAAATAATTTAATTTTGATTTGTAATAAAAAAATATAAAATAAAACGAAAGAAACGTTTTAAATGTTTGTGTTCTTGATTTTGCGACTTCTTCACATATTTGACTGGTATCCTTCCTCTATACACAAATGAGAATGCAAATTTTAATATTATTCGTAATATTAAAATCCTTTAATCCTTTGTATATTGTGTAGTAAATAATTGACATTTCTTATTAACCATGATAAGCCAATTGTTTTACCCATAGATATAATCTTCTCTACGCATCGTCTTTATGGGAAAAGATATCATATATATGTGGAAAAAGAATATTAGATTTAAACATCAAAGTTTTAAGAATGGATGCATTCTACTAGACGATAATTGCAAAGGGGTTTTCACAAACGCTCTCACGCTTAAACGAAAATATATTTAAGAATCCGATGAACAAAACAAAAAATGCTTCTTAGGTAGACTTGTACTCTCTCCCCTTGCTTCTTTCTCACACGACAAAAGTGATTTAATAATTGAAAAGCCAATGCGATGGAAAACCGATACAAAGTTGTTAGATGTCTCACTGTGTTCCAACTGCGGCTATCTCCCATTTGACCATTTATAAAATCGTTAACGATACGGTAGGGTCTTTGTGATAAATAGTTCAGTTTTTCCAAGTTCATTGCAACATGACAAGAGAACCTTACCATCCTTACTATTCAATCAGATATTACAAATAATTTAATTCTTTGTCTATTATTTTGTAGGGTGTAGCATTTTATCTCATTGGTTTCTTTCCATCTTATTCTTCTTCGGCAAAGAATTTTTTTATTTTCAATACCTTTCCCAAGTTTGAGGCCAATACATTCCAAATGGTTTTAATATATACATAATACTCTACAAAAAATTGTCTTTGTGAATAAAAACAATTTATTAAATTAATGAGTTAATATACCGATAGCACTAAATTTTTTATAGATTAACATACCCGACCTGCGAGCCAGTTCAATCCTTTGACGATCGCCAGCATGGTTATGAACATCTATGCGGATAAACATATATTAAAAGTAATCAACCGCGTATTTTTACTTAAAGATAATATACATATTGTAACGGCCGCGAACAAACCTTGGGTAGGGTGTCTGTCGGTCTGTGTCAACCGCAAGCGGAGCAATAACGGCGTGCCGTTAGACAAAATCATGCGATTTTGTGGTACCGCTAGTAAATCGCATGATCTTGCGGTATATGTGTTTATTATTTTATTTTCTTTTTCTTGTCTGATCTCCTTATTCGCAAGTACAGTCAAAATCGTATGATTTTGCGGTACCATTGCTTGCTTTTGCAAGTACAGTCAAAATCGTATGATTTTGCGGTACCATTGCTTGCTTTTGCAAGTACAGTCAAGATCGTATGATCTTGCGGTACCCTTGCTTGCTTTTGCAAGTACAGGCAGAATCGTATGATTTTGCGGTACTCCTTTTTTTTTCCTTTTGCTCTTGCAAGCATAGGCAAAATCGTATGATTTTGCGGGATCTATGCTTGCTCTTGTGAGAGTAACGGCAAGCCGTTATAGAGAGAGAGAGCAACAGGAAGAAGAAGAGGGAAATGAAATGAAAAGGAGAAGTCTGTCTGCGTTTCAAAAATTAAAGTCAGAGGATAGAATTCTGAGTTGAAGTCAGTCGGAGTCAGGCACTCGCTGAGTGCAGTTCTTGTCGCGCTTTATCCATTAACAGTCAGATGTTAGACTTCAGTGTGACCGGTCGATTTTCTAGTGTATAAATCGCAAAAGAAAAACTAGAGTAAAATAAATAAACAAGTGTTCCTTAAGAAAATTGCAGAGATTTTGCACCCTTTAATCTATTCTGCATCGAGGAAAGTTTTGGTT